ATTGTAATTGTAGAGATCCCAAGCCTCAACCTGGTTTGGATGCCATTCTAAGACCGTTGTTCTGACATCACCCACTTCTTCAAAGGATCTTTAATAACAGATATCGGCATTAATCCTCTTTTTCAGAAGAAAACATATCTCGCCGAGTTTCTTGGTGTTCTTCATTCAAGAGTTCTTGGCGTTCTTCTGTTGTCAGATCCGTTTCAGGTTCCATTACAAACTCTTCGATGTTCTTTATTTCTCAGATGTGATTTTTGTTACTCCTTTAGCTGCTGGAGTCTTCTTGATTATACAGTATTTTTCTTAAATAAGATTGAACTGAGGCTTATTGTAGACCTGTTTAAGCCATATTGCCCAGCAACATTAGGCATCTTCTGCCCACTCTCTACCTTTGCTATTATACTCTCACCTTTCAAAAAGAAAAACAAACGCAAAACTTAACGAGTGCCTACCCGACAGTCTTGCAAATACACAAAAGAATTGTTTTGTCAGAAAAATAAAAGGCTGGAATTACAAGGGAGAATTTCAAAGTTCGGAGGAAGACTATCCAATCGGTATATACCGTCTTGAGCGTCGATGTCGACGTCTCCCACACTCCGAAAAGTTTCGAATTGTTGCCTGAAGACAAGGGAAGACCAATCGGTATTCATTATTTTACATTGCTTCTTCCTGTGTTTGTTCTGTGGGGTGTTTGGTACCTGATCATGCGTTTGTTGTCCGAACATAAAAATCTTTCATGAAAGTGTTCTTTATCCAATCTGTTTGTTAACTGATCACCCACTGTATATTGCCTTATTGGTTAACCTACATTGTCTAGGTCCAGTGCCTAGTGCAGGCATGGCCAACATACGGCTTGCGGGTCGGATCTGGCCCATGTAATGAATTTATGTGGCCTGTGATCAATCTTTCAATATTAGCTACTCAAGTTTGAATAGCTTGATGAAAAAATTCTGACGCCTAAAAAGAAAAAAGGTCAATAACTCACTGTGCATTTAGAGTTAACCCTTCATTACAAATCTCATAAGTACAGCATAGAATGTTGATAAAGCATGATAATNGAACTAATATGAATGATACCGAACAACCCTCAAGAAAGTATGGATAGAAAACAGAAGATGTCCATATGTCACCAGTTACTTTTTAAGAAAATCTTTGCATTTTTAATTGATATTTTTTTGTGTGTTTTTAAAGGACTTTTTAGCATTTTGGCAGCTAGTAGCCTAAAAAGGAAGGTCGGTTGCCAAGATTGTACAGTCTGGAACATGAAATTAACTATAGAGTTAACCCTTCATTACAAATCTCATAAGTACAGCATAGAATGTTGATAAAGCATGATAATATGAAAAATGTATCTGTAATCTCTATGTACAATTTAGTCTCTATGGGGTGACACCACAATGAGATCTCGCACTATCTCAAAATCTTCCTGGGGCAGCCTCTGGTTCGGCCTGTGGAAAAAGTTTTCTTTCCAATTCGGCCCGAAGGTAAAAACTGTTGGCCACCCCTGGCCTAGTGTCTTATTCACTGAGCTATCACCACTCAGGGACATAAAACTTCCAAAGAATTATCAGCCAAACACTCAGTTTTCAGAGGCCCAGTTTTTTGAAACACCTGAGTAGTGGGTCTTATTGTTTGGACAAGGAACTATTTGTATTTAAAGCTATGTGCCATTTGTATTGGAAACCCGAATGTCTGGTCCTTTCCTTGTTAGCAATAGGAATCATTTTTGAATAACTTTTTTAATAAAAATTCCATAACACATTTGATTACAGTGCTTAAACAGTATTTCACATATTTTCTGTCATATCAACATTTTTGTTTTAGTCTACTGAAAAAAGATCAAAGTGAAAAAAGTCATCCTAAAGAATTCCCAAAATTTTCTGTCAGTCAGTAAAAAAATTCCCAATCTGGAAATGTTGGGTAGCATTGCACAAAACTGCCTTTGGTTCTCAATATCACTTCCTAGTTTTCTGCTCAAACTTGCTGCGTGACATCATGAAATTGCTAGAAATTGACAGGACTTCCATCACACAGGAGCTAGACATTCTGCTGTTTTTCTTCAAGTGTGCTTGTGATTCAATTTTACACTGATTGTCAAAATAAATGGACTAGGGATTTATCTTTTGCTGTTACCAATATTATATTTATATTATCACTTTAATAAAAATATTGCCAAGTGGCAATTTTGGTGTTATACAGCATGACCCCTGTATGTATATGTAAATATAATGTATTTTAACTCTATCTACAGGGTTGGTAGAAAGTAACTAAGCATTGAGAAATCACTATAATTTTGTAATAATAAGGCAATCATAATAAAATTTGTATGCTGTTGTACATCAGTCAATTAAATTTTATAATTTTGCATTGATGGTTTGGACAGGTATAGAGAGAGGCTGCATGCAGAGTGGCAAAAAAAAATATGATCAACCACTTGTCTGTTCAGAAGCAAGTGCTGATTGCTGCATGATATGCAATGTGCAAATCAGTAGTTTCTGTGCAGAGATGGTGAAGGACATCATGCCACAATCTGTCCGGAAACAATCAATAATTTTCATTCAAATCTAAAATGGCCATAGATTTCTATGCATTTGGAGCTAGAACTATTTAAAATGACTAAGACAAAATCTTTCTCACTTTGTTTCTAGCTGTTTAAACACCGATTACAAACGTTTTCGGCTTTATTAATAGGCCTTCTTCAGGTACACTGTGGTCTGCTAGAACTTCAGTTGGGAGATATTCAAATGGTGTCACTGTTTACATAGGTTTTGTCTTACCAGTGACATCGTTTGAAAATCTACCAACCGAAGTTCTAGCAGACCACAGTGTACCTGTAGAAGGCCTATTAAGAAGAAATAGATAAATAAATAAAACTCACGCCAAAATTGTATAGCTTCTTGATAAAAAGCACTGAGTTCAGCGTTAATACGATTTTTCTTATATCGCAAGTACTTTCGACGAGTATTATATCGTTGTTCTCAGGCGAAAAAAGAACAAATTTGAAAATTAGAACGTGCAGAGTGTTCCAAGTAGAAAACGGAAAATTTTTCTTGTCAATTTCTAAATTATAACGTTCGGTAATTCCGTTGGTTACATGGAACAAGCTTTTGCGGGCGTTCGAAAAGCTTGTTGCACGTGACCAACGGAATTACCGAACGTTANATTTTTTTTACAAACCATATATATATGCAACCAGAATACAATCATCTCTCATACATTTTGAGAATCTAGATATATATATATATCTATAGATTCTCAATATATCAATATATCAATCTATAGATATAGATATATCTATATCTATAGATTGATATATTGATATATTGAGAATCTATAGATATATATATATCTAGATTCTCAAAATGTATGAGAGATGATTGTATTCTGGTTGCATATATATATGGTTTGTAAAAAAAATATGGCCCTAAATTACAAGGATAGCAATATCCTCCCTCAAGCTTGAAGGAAGTTCTTTCTGTTTGAAGTCCTGCAATAAATACTATATGTAACATCAATAACAAATTAGATGACATCTCTTCCTTATGTTCCTTTTTCAAATTCTACATATATTAACCTGATGATGATAGCTAAAGTTATTGAAAATAATTGTTTTCTCATTAAATAATTTTTAATTTTATTCTGGAGTTTGGTTATTTCATTCTTTTAATATATTATTAGTTTAAATATTTGAAGAGAAAGTCCTCCCAAATAGGGGCCACCATTTATTAATTTCGTGTTCCAGACTGTACAATCTTGGTGACCGACCTTCCTTTTTAGGCTACTAGCTGCCAAAATGCTAAAAAGTCCTTTAAAAACACACAAAAAAATATCAATTAAAAATATGAAGATTTTCTTAAAAAGGAACTGGTGACATATGGACGTCTGTTTTCTATCCATACTTTCTTAAGGACATTTTCAGCTTTTATCTACGAAGAAATAAGCACTGGAAAATGTAGATTGGAAAAATTTAACTACAATAAGAACCATACAATGAAAAAACTACAAATTAAAATTGTAAAGTATTGTCACCAAAGGGAAGTTTTTCCAATCTACATTTTCCAGTGCTTATTTTTTCGTAGATAAAAGCCGAAAACGCCCTTGTCAGTGAGCCTTTGCAATGTTTCTGGACAAATGATACAATGAAGCATAAACACTCTTAGTTACTTTTAATATAAACTGAACCAATACAAGTTGAACAGATAAAGAATTGTCATCACACCATACAAAACATATACGCCATCTTTCCGTCTTTTTTCCCGCTCGTTTTCAAAAACCAATAAAAAAAAAAAAAAAAAAGTTATACATGTGCCCCCTGCCCAAACATACGCTTTTTTTCTGAACTAATATGAATGATACCGAACAACCCTCAAGAAAGTATGGATAGAAAACAGAAGATGTCCATATGTCACCAGTTACTTTTTAAGAAAATCTTTGCATTTTTAATTGATATTTTTTTGTGTGTTTTTAAAGGACTTTTTAGCATTTTGGCAGCTAGTAGCCTAAAAAGGAAGGTCGGTTGCCAAGATTGTACAGTCTGGAACATGAAATTAACTACAATAAGAACCATACAATGAAAAACTACATATTATTAGTTATTAAATTATGTTTAGCTTTATATTTGATAGTTTAATGAAGAAAATGAATATAAAAGATTTAATATGAATTTTTAATTTGTTTGTAATTAAGATATAACTTCTAAATATCACTTATGGTAGCTATTATTATGTTCTATGAATGTATGTCTCTTTAATCCAAATGACTATTAAGTTCGGTAGACTATCATTACAGCTTTCAAGTTAGACACTTCTTTTATTGTTTTCTCATATGCATTTCGGGCTTATGTAAATGCTAAGCCCTTCTTCAACATATCTAATCTGAAAGCTGTAATGATAGTCTACCGAACTTAATAGTCATTTGGATTAAAGAGACATACATTCATAGAAGATATAATTTATTATATGAAGTTTGATATTAACACAAAAGTTTAATGTTATTCATAGTGTTGGCAATGGATGCGATGTCACAGACCTTTAGTTATTGTTCGTGACCAATATGAGGTACTCTGTTTAGGTCTGAGTGGTGCAGGTAAATCCACAGCCTTGGCAACATTAGTTGGAGAAAATATTGATAATATTGAACCAACAACAGGTGAGAAATAAGAAAAATTTTTATTTTATTATAAATCAGTGTTAAAGTCAATAAATACATTGTTTGTATTTTCAGGGTTTAATATTAAAACACTTCCTTTAAAAGAAACTGTGTTAGATATTAAAGAACTTGGAGGTTTGTCTCTTTTCAAAATATATCTTGAGTATTATATTTGTACTTGGTGTATTCTTATGACAATTTATTTATCAGGAGCAGATAATGTACGACCATTTTGGAATAGATATTTTACTGGTCAGCATGGATTATTATATGTAGTAAATGCAGCCTCAGATGATGATAGTTTAAAGCTTTCATTAGAATCATTATTGACAGTGTTATCTGATCCAGCCATGAAGGGTATACCATGTGTTATTCTTGCAACACATGTTGATTGCTCAGATTCAAGAACACAGCACAATGTAAGTTTTTACTCATATTTATGACAAAATGAATATATATTTTATTAAATATTAATAAAACTATTTTTGGCACTTTATTTTGCTTTATTTATCAGAATTATTAAACACAAAAATCAATTTCTATACATAAAAAAAAATTTAAGTGAAAATATTTTTGAATTAATGAATTCATCATCAATATCCACAGAATAGAGAGCTTAAAATCAAACATACAAGTTCTAAATAGAAAAAGATTTTTATATTTTTTTCTTATTACGACTATTTTCAATAATTTTTAATGAGATTTGCCAAAAGTGATTATGTGTACGCATACATACAGGACTGAAATTTTGATACTTTTCATTTTATATAGAAGGTGGTCAAATTCTTAAATTTGAAAATTTCTAAATCATTAATATATGAATTTACTTTATGGATTTAGCTTTAATTTATAAAAGAAAAAACATGTATTATTTATGACATCATCACAATGCTGGGTTACAATTTTTAAGTGTATTTTAATTTAAAAAATCATGACTTGTCCAGATTGGAAGTTCATATTTAGATCAGGGCCACAGCCCATAATAATATAAAGATAGTAATTAAAAATTTTAATAGAATATAAATTAAAATAACTTTTTAATTGAATAGTAATTCTTTCAATTAATAATCATAAATCAATTTCAAATTATATAATCTTTTTTACATCTAACTAAACATAATCTATTCAGTTATCAGATAAAATTTAAGACCACTGTCTATTAGCATTAATAAATGTTTGTGAACACCAACAGACAATGCTCTTAAATTTTATATGGTAAGAATCTGGCATGAGAAGATAATTATTTCATTCCTATTCAGTTATTTCTTTACAATTAATATTTGATTATAATTTATTAAAATCGTGTGTTGATTTTTGAGACTTTTATAATAATTATTGTCAATTTTGTACAGTTGGAACAGTTTTTTCAAAGTGCTCTCCACGGGAGGAAATGGACAATACAGATGTGTAGCCTACAAGACAATGAGAGCATCCAAAATGCATTGGAAACACTTATTGACCTGATGGCATACAATGTTTAGCAAGTAGTATTACTAAATGCTGAAAGCCTAGAAGTAAAGCAAGAGAGTTGAGCCAATAGAGATAAGATTCAAGCAATTGTCTGTTTGCTCAACCGTAGATAGCATATCTGATTCCTGTGATTGTTGTTATGACGAGATCATACAAATGCATTTTGTGCAAGTTTACGTTATGTAAATCATTTCTATTCACCGGAAGAGAAATTAGAAGAGAAATTTTGAAACTTTGTTACAGTAAATTGATGGTATGATTTGCACTGCCATTTTCTATCCATTTATTAATGCAAATGCCAATTATATAAGTAGTTTTGGTGGCTTAGAATATTTATAGGATATGCAATAGTTTCTTCCCGATTTGAAAAGTAAAATATCCAAAATGGTATAAACTATTTATTGAAATTTTGTTAATGTTTTTATAATCTGTTCTGTAATATAATAGAAAAGAATATAATCCATAAAATTAGTTTAAAATTTTGTTTCAAAACAGATATTTGAATAACATGGGATTTTTGTTTTTCCCCCTCCTCTTATAATTTACACTAATTTTAGTTTGTCAGATAATTATGTATTGAATCTGTCATGAATTTTACTGGAGCTTGAAATCAGCCAAATTTTATAAATATATCGTAACTGATGAACTGAGACTATTAATTTTGTTCATTCACTTAGACTAAGAAAATTTCCTTTATAGAAAAAGCAGCAATAAACACATTCAATTTGGAATTTAATTATTTCTTTTGTATTAATTAATTTAAGAAAAATTAGTTGAAACAGACACATGNCATAAATGAAAAGAAAAAATATTCTTTCAAGTTAATATTTTACCAAAGCCTTACTTAATAATTTCTCTTTATAATTCCCAAAAACCTTATTCCAAATGTGTTAATTATTTTAAATGGCTGATAATATTAATACTCATTTTTTCAATTTATTAGAATCACTTGGTCATTTTAAGTTTCTTAATCTGGCCCCTACAGAACCAGAGTGGTGCCAGATTACTGAAAATTCTTATTACCATTTGTATATTATATATCAAATGTTTTTGCAACATTTGATATATAATATACACAATCTAAACATTTTGTAACTATGCATGCTGCTATATGCTTCTGTATTTTTACACAATGAAAATGAAGCAGTGCATGACTATACTTTGTTGAGACATTGTTTATTAACATTTCTGCAAATTTTTCAAAGTATTATAATATTGTCTGGGATCGTTAGCACACCATATGAGTATACAAATTTTGATTTGCAGAATACAGTAGGTGTGAATTTTGAAGTAGTTATAAAAATTGATTTGTTAATTCAAATATTTATAAATCAGTCAAACTTTTAGAAAAATGTTTAATAGAAAACTATGCAATTGAAATTTGTGTTACAACTAGGAAAATTATAGTTAATTTTATATCCATTTTTTCAAATTTACTAAAAATATAAATCTTAAAGATGAATTCAACAAAAGTCAGCATATTATCACTAAAAATAAAATAAATAAATTTATCACTTAAATAATTGCTTGTTAACTGGAAATATTGATAAGTGAATTTTATCTTTGTGAAAAATTTTAAGCTATTTTAAACCCAAACTTTGTATTTTTAAATTTATAAATTATACTTTTCAATGCTGTGAACTGGTTAATTTCATACAAGTACAGTTTAAAACAAAATGCTTTAAATAATATTGTACAACTGATTGATGATGTATAAAAATTTTCTAAATGTAGCATTCAAACATAATGATCTTCACTATTTCATTACTAATTAATTAATTTATGTATGTACAGTACATTTTATTTTATAGCAGCATGTTTAAAGCAATAATGTACTGCAATCATTCTTGAATTCTTTTTAACAAATTATTTGATACAAAGATTCTTCTATTGTAATAAGAGATTTATTTGGAAGAAACTAAAGACTTCAATTAATGTAAAATCTAAACAAATAATTTGAATACTATTATTTAATAGTTTTCATTAAATTTGTTCAAATTATTTTTAAAATATTTCGTTTTACAAATTATGCGTAACTATCTAATTTAATTGCCAAATTTTTAAAAATATGATTTGTAATAAAACAATGTGAACAATAATAATTACAAAAGTAAAGATATTCAGTAAGTTAGACATAATGCATTATATTTTGCAATTTAACAGCCTCATTCATGTTTTTATATTTATCTTGCAATTTTTCTGACAAGATATTATTAATCCAAGAATGAAATCTATATTAAAATCAATAAGTAATTTTTTTTATATAAGTCTACATTAATGCATTTACATTTTTTAAGTTTAACAAGAACCTGAATAAATATTTTTGGAAATGGCAGTAGAGCTTATACCATCCCATTCCACAAAAAAAAAAGAAAAAAAATTGTGTATAAGATTTGTATCTGGAATTAAATAGTAAGTGTTAATTGAGATAGATTTTTCTTTATTAATCTTGTTAATTATTAATTGATGAAAAAGATTTTTTTAAATTTAAGTTATTTATGTTTTTAATTAAGAAATATATATTGTTTAATACATTAAAAAGTGTTGTATATACATTATTATTATTATTATTTTTAGATACTTTTAATTCTTCAAAGTTTGAATTTGTTATGAAAAATTTTACAATTGATTGTTTTGTAGATGTATTAAATATTAACACATAAATGTATTATAATTGGTTATCCATCAAAATTCTCCCTTAAGAAAAATTTTTGAGTTGTTCTCACATTAATGTTTTTGATCATACTTTTTCAATTCATATTTTATCAAATCTAGTCTTCCATGTTCATCTCTTCTGTACAAATTTGTTTGTAATTTATCCATGTATAAAATTCTCTTTAATTTGGTATACTGTATTATAAACTTTGCATGTCACCCATCAATCACTATAAATCTGACAAACTAAAATCTTCTTTAAAGAAGTGTAAATTGGCATTGATACTTGAAATTGACTATGTTAAATCGTACAAATTGTTAAATTTGAAAATTATATAAATTTGGCTCAAGTATTCATATGTTCAATAATAATTGCTTGTAAAAAAAATATTCATAGAAAACAAAACAGATTTTGTCACACTGTATGTATAAAAAAAATATTTTCCTGAATGTGGATGGATAAGATGAACTATTAGTCAACTAATATGTATGAAATATTGTTTCTGATTAATAAAACTTATTTCAAATTTAATTTGCCTTTTAAATACTTACTGCTGTTTTACACTTAATATATTTTAAGTAATTAAAGAGCATTGCATTGATTGCATAAATGAAAAGAAAAAATATTCTTTCAAGTTAATATTTTACCAAAGCCTTACTTAATAATTTCTCTTTATAATTCCCAAAAACCTTATTCCAAATGTGTTAATTATTTTAAATGGCTGATAATATTAATACTCATTTTTTCAATTTATTAAATCACTTGGTCATTTTAAGTTTCTTAATCTGGCCCCTACAGAACCAGAGTGGTGCCAGATTACTGAAAATTCTTATTACCATTTGTATATTATATATCAAATGTTTTTGCAACATTTGATATATAATATACACAATCTAAACATTTTGTAACTATGCATGCTGCTATATGCTTCTGTATTTTTACACAATGAAAATGAAGCAGTGCATGACTATACTTTGTTGAGACATTGTTTATTAACATTTCTGCAAATTTTTCAAAGTATTACAAAGTATTATAATATTGTCTGGGATCGTTAGCACACCATATGAGTATACAAATTTTGATTTGCAGAATACAGTAGGTGATCGGTTAACGAACATAATCCGTTCCAAGACTTTGTTCGCTATCCGAATTGTTCGTTAACCGATTATCGATTTACCATAGGTTTCTATGGGAATTTAATTAATTCGTTCTGGAGACCCCCAAAATAAAAATATATACATTTTTATTACGTTTATTTATATGTAATAATAAAAATACATACATACACAGTCTTTCATATTTATTAGTCATGTTTTTTTTCCATTTGAAATGGTTAAACAATCTGTCTAATGCTGATTGCTTTTCCCCCTCTTCTTCAGGATTTTTCGTAAGTAATTAATAGCGGCATTGCAATTGTAGAAATCCCCAAGCCTCAACCTGGTTTAGATGCCATTCTAAGACCGTTGTTCTGACATTCTCCCACTTCTTCAAACGATCTTTAATAACAGATATCGGCATTAATCCTCTTTTTCAGAAGAAAACATACCTCGCTGAGATTCTTGGTGTTCTTCATTCAAGAGTTCTTAGCGTTCTTCTATCGTCAGATCCGTTTCGGGTTCCATTATGAAATCTTCGATGTTCTTTATTTCTCAGATTTGATTTTTGTTACTCCTTTAGCTGCTTGAGTCTTCTGGATTATACAGTATTTTTCTTAAATAAGATTGAACTGCTGCCTACTGTA